GAGACGGTAGTAGGAGACCGACTCGTCAAACGTGACGTCCTGAGAGGACAGAACACGGCGCGAGGTGGGGTGGTAAAACTGCCACCCAGGGGCGTCAGGGGGGAAGCCAAGGAAAACGCAGGGAACAGCACGAGAGGACAGCTTGTCCGCGGAAGTATCGCGGACAAAAGCTCGAGATCCCCAGACACGGTACACAGACGCATCGCCAACCTTCCCCGTCCACCGCAGAGTAGGTGTGGTCTCCGGCACAGAGACACGAGGCTGAAGGTTGATCTGATGCGCAGCGTACTGAACAGCGAACGGCCACAGAAAATGGGGAGCAGCCGCATGGATCATGGACGTGCGAGCGACGTCCATGACCATGCCAATGCGGCGCTCAGCAATCCCATTTTGCTGTGGGGAGGCCGGAAGCGTGAACGTCTGGCGGATGCCCTCCGCACGACAGAAAGCTCTCAGAAGGTCGGAGGAAAACTCACCACCTCTGTCTGAGTGCAGGCGCAGAACAGGAAAGTCCGAGTCGAAACTCTCTCTGAGCTGCAGACTAGCAGCGCGGATCCAGTCGATCAACACCTCAGTGACCTCACCCTTGCGGCGCAAGGGGAAGACTGTGGTGTAACGCGAGTAGTCGTCAACAACCAGTAGGAAGTAACGCTCGTGACCCTGTCCACGGACGCGGGCTGGGCCCCACACGTCCATGTGGAGAGTCTGCAGAGGAGCCACTGTTGGAGGAAACTCGGAGGAGTGAGGAGCGGCGCGCTGCCGGCCCTCGACACAGGGAACACAGGTAGGGGCAGGCCCCGGAGGAAGGGGAGGGAGGGACCGGGGGAGACCTGAGACAAGGTAACGGGAGGCCATACCTCGAAGACGAGGCAGGGAGAGGTGACCAAGGCGGTGGTGCCAAAGGAGAGTCTCGTGTGACAGAGGTCGACACGAGCAGGGGGCAGACGCCAGACTAGACCTGGACGCGGCAGCAAACACCTGACCAGACGCGGCTACCTGACCGGACGCAGTAACAGGAGGAGACTCAGTGGTAAGGGTGTACAGGCTGGACCCTGGCCGACGGGTGAACGTGGCCAGGTGACGGCCCGTCCGAGCACACGTGCAGTGCGTCACACACTGATAGGCAGGGGTGAACTGGTGGACACCCCCGTCCTGAAGATCAGCACCCGCCACCAAGTTCGTGGAGAACGAGGGGAGGTAAAGACCAGACAGCGAGCCGGACGGAGCCGCAGGACACCCGTGGAGGAGTGCGCAAGGACTGGGCCCCTAGAGGGGTCAGCCAGGGAGACCGCTACAGGCCGACTGAGCGGCGTGAGCGTGGTGCTGTCGCGAAAGAAAGAGCGCGAAGCACCTGAGTCAAGTGTGAAAGTGTGCAAGGCCTCAGTAGGTGCAGTACCAGAGAGAGCAGACTCAACAGTACCTGGAGCAGCAGACTCACTAGCACCTGGAGCAGCGGACTCACTAGCACCTAGAGCAGCAGCCTCAATGCCTGGGTCGGGCGGAACACACAGGTAACAGTCACCCTCAGCACTATCAGTCACATCATACATGGCAACAAGGATAGCATCGAAATCAAGATCAAAGATAGCAACATTCTGCTTCAGCAGATCACCCCAACGGGGGAGCTCAGCGCCGTCAGGAAACTGTGCACGCCAGGCGTCAGTCAGGCGACCGAAGCAGCGCTGCAAAGTGTGCGGTCCACCGCACGTCTCTCCACGACGTCCGCCCGTGCGAAGAACGTAAGTGCAGGGACCAACACCCCCAGCCCTCCCACGCCCAGCGTACCACTCACGAAGCTGCTGGGGCGAAATGGTCTCACGGGAACGTGGCTGCTGCTGGCGCTGGCTAACGCCAAAGTCTCCACGTTGTGTGGTACCTCCTCGGCCAGCACCACCACCGCCTCCACCTCCACCGCCGCTACCGCTGCCTCCACCACCTCCACTGCCGCCCCCACTCCCGCCACCACCCCCACCGCCACCACCACCGCCTCCACCCCCTCCACCGCCTCCACCGCCTCCACCGCCGCCCCCTCCACCACCCCTGCCCCCTTTGCCCTTGCTGTTGCGGCGCCTCCCACTAGGAGCAGACGCAGCCCCGACCTCCTCAGTGCCAACGAGGTCGACAGCAGCAGCAGAAGCAACATAGGGGAGAAGGGGGACGGGGGAGCACCCCTCAAAGAAAGGGGCGCGAGGGTCGCCGCGAGAAGCACCTACAGCAACAATACTCTTCTCTGCTGCAGTAAGGCGCTCCTCAAGCAGGTCAACGGTGAGCTCAGTGGGGCAAAGGGAGAGAAAGTGGTCCCTGACTGAAGAAAGAGAGTCAGGGAGACGGGTGACTAGGTAGTAGAGGGTGATGTACATGGGGGGGGGGTTCTTGGCACAGAACTCAGTGGGAAGCGCAGCGCGGTAGCGGGTGTCACTAGTGCGGAGGTGCGTAATGAGGTCAGCGACTGTGGCAAAAGCGGCTAGGTCAGGGAACATGTACGGCAGCATGAGGCAGCTGAGGGCAGCAGTGGCAGGGGAGGAGTAGCGTGCAACAACAGCAGTGTACAGAATGCTAGCAGTCTTGTACTGGCTAAAGTGCGCGCGCTCAGCAGACGGCAGGTGACTACGAATAGCAAGACGGGCAACAGCATCGCGCGTGGTCCACTGCGAGCGAACAGCACTGGCAGCATCAGCAGCAGGTGCACCAGAGGCACCAGACGTGAGATCAAAAAGTGAGACTCCCTCCTTGCTATCACACTGCAGAAACAGCTGCAGATCATCGACCCAGACATCAAAATCAACTGCCCTACCCTCAGCATTGAAGGTAAGGACGTTAGGGGTAGACATGACAGCAGTAGCAGTAGCAGCAGTAGCAGCAGTAGCAGTAGAAGCAGCAGTAGCAGCAGAAGCAGCAGCGGTAAGGCAGTGCGGCTTAGTAGGGTGGCGCGGCTCGGTAGGGCGGCGCGGCTAGACTGGGCGGCGCGGCTTGGCTGGGCGGTGCGGCTCGGCTGGGCGGCGCGGCTCGGCAGGGCGGCGCGACTCGGCTGAGTGGCGCGGCTCGGCTGGGCGGCGCGGGTGCTTACCAGGGGCGGGTGGAGGGCAGGGCCGCGACTTGGCGGCGGTAGAGCAGGGCCGCGACTGGGGCGGCCGAAGGGCGGGGCCGCAACGCGTCGGCGGCAGAGCAGGGCCGCGGCTGGGCGGCGGTAGGGTAGGGCCGCGACGGCGGCAGTAGGGGCGACGGCAGCTGCTGCAGGGCAGGTGGCCGCGATAGTGGCGGCAGGGCAGGGGCAGCGACAGCCGCTGCAGGGGCGGCGACGACGAGCAGGCGGGGCGGCAGGGCCGCGACGACGAGCAGGCGGGCCGCAAAGGGGGGGGGCGCGAGGGGCCGCGAAGGGGCCGCGAGGGGCCGCGAGGGGGGCCGCGAAGGGCCGCTAAGGGGCCGCGAAAGGGGGGCCACGAAGGGGCCGCTAAGGGCCGTGAGGGGAGCCGCGAAGGGCCGCGAAGGGGCCGTGAAGGGGGGTCGTGAAAGGGCGCGACGGGCCTCTAAGGGCAGGGCCGCTAAGGGCGGGCCGCTAAGGGCAGAGCGCGCGACGGGCAGAGGCACGCGACGGGCGGCAGGCAGAGTCGCGACTAGCGCGACAGCAGGGCAGAGGCGCGCTACGGCGCAGGAGAGGCAGTTTTAGTGGTGGGCCCTAAGAAAAAAAAAAACGTTCCCACGGAGGGAACCTTCTCAGAATACCATGTCAGAATAGAAACGTACGAATGATTGACTAGCAAGCAGTTTGGGTACAAGTAGGAAACCTAGAAATGTTATACCCCATATTGTCTACCCCACTACAGCCTACACAGACTATAGCATATATGTTTGACAAAGCCGCGCAAGGAGAAGAAGACGTCAAAGACGACGTCGTCGACGAAGGACGTCGACTCCTCAAGCGGCAAGGGTCGAGGCAAAGGAGAAGCGTCGTGCTCGATGGTCGGCCTGATGGAGCCGATAGTTTTGCTGGCGCCGGAGGTCGGTGAAGACTTCCAGGCGATCGCAGCCGCTGTACAGGCGAATCCGACGGTGGTCCTGCTCGACAGCGATAACTACTACAACGGGAGCTAGTCTATGAGGTAGGCACGGGGTAGGAGTGATCGTAGCGTTCGTTCCTTAGTCGTTCACTTGTGCTTACTCTACTTGCGCATTCACAGGGAAAGTTGGCAAGAGTTTCACTAGCAAAAGTTCACAACAATAGTTGACAATGGCAAAGCAACACTGTCTATATCAGGAGCTAGCATGCAAGCAGATCGACTGCCAGCGCAGCACGGTCGACCGCGTTCCAGCACGACATGGTCGTGTACACGCAAACTGCTCAAGGTGTGTTGGTGGGTGTACGTGGAGAGGAGTGGGTGGGAGGTTGAGGAGGAGGGAGACGGGGGTTTGTGGGGATGTGTGTGTGTGTGCGTGCGTGTGCGTGTGCGTGTGCGTGTGTGCGTGTGTGCGTGTGTGCGTGTGTGCGTGTGTGTGTGTGTGTGTCTGTGTGTCCGTGTGTCTGTGTGTTTGTGTGTGTGTCTGTGTGTCTGTGTGTGTGTGTGTGTGTGTGTGTGTCTGTGTCTGTGTCTGTGTATCTGTGTGTGTCTGTGTGTGTCTGTGTCTGTGTGTGTTTGTGTGTGGGTGTGTGTGCGTGTGCGTGTGTGTGTGTGTGTGTGTGTGTGTGTCTGTGTGTGCCCCACCCGCCTTTCCATCTGCTTTCCCGTCAGCTCCCTTCCGCCTCTCCCTCCCCTTCCGCGCTCTCTCCACCCTGCCTTCTCCTCCTTCTGCCTCTCTCCATCCCCGCACTCTTCCCCTCCCCTCCCTCCCTTTCCGCCCCTCCCCTTTTCCCTCCCTAAATCGGCGCAGGCATCAACCAGGGGAGGCGGCTCCTGTAGCCCGCGGACCGCATGGAGATGGTGCAGGCGGCCACTTTTGAAAATTCTCAAAAAACATAGGCCATTTTAACCCCAACCGGGGGAGGCGACTACAACGTGCGGCCCATGATGGAGATGGTGCGGGCGGCCACTTTAAACCGTAAAATCCAAACCCTCTGACACCAACCTTTTTGTTCTCCTCCAACTCCCCTCTCTCCCCCCTCCCCGCCAATCCCTCCTCCCCTCCCATTTCGCCCTCCTCTCCTCCGCTTCGCTCCCCATCCCCTCCCTCATTCCCCCCCTAGATTGTATCAGGCACCAACCGGGGGAGGCGGCTTTTGTCCCCTGCCGACCGCAATGTGCGGCCCATGATGAAGATGGTGCGGGCGGCGGTGTTCGACATGTTGCACGCGCTGCTGGACTCGCCGCACCGCCTGCCGCCCGGCTCCTGCTGGCTGGACCTGTACAGCGGCACGGGGAGCGTTGGATTGGAAGCGATGAGCCGAGGGTGCGGACAGGTGAGGGGATGCGAGGGCAGGCAATAAGGGGCGGGGCGCTCTTGAGTGAAGGGTGTCCGTCTATGCGCTGGCTGGACCTGTACAGCAGCATGGGGAGCGTTGGATTAGAGGCCATGAGCCGAGGGTGTGGGCAAGTGAGGGGAATGGGGCATTGGGAGGCACGGGGGCATGGCATGGGCAGCACTGGAAGGCATGCAACTTGCGCTGGCTGGATCTGTACAGCGGCACGGGGAGCGTGGTGAGGGCAGGTGAGGGCAGGTCAGGGCAAATGTGCAGCATGTGCCATTCAAGCACTGAATGGTGTGTGCAGGTGGATCCGTGAGCCGCCTTCTCTGTCGCTCGCTCTCACCCTCTTCCCTCCCCCCTCCCCGTCGCAGGCGCACTTCGTGGAGATGGATGGACCCATGGGTCGTATCGACTGTGCTGGTCCCCAACATTGAATCGAAGCCTGCTCCGCCTCCTCCCACTCCCACACCACCCTCTCGCTTTCTCTTTCGTCTTCTCTCCGTACCGTCCTACCGTCCTGCCCTCCTGCCTCCGACAACCCTTCCCTCCCTCTCTCCCTGCCTCTGGCACCCCTGCCCTCTGCTGCACGCGCACTCCCAACACCAAGCCTATCGCCTCACTTCATGGAGGCGGACTGTAAGTCATATGCTCTTTTGTGCTCTCCCCCCTCAACCCCCGCCACTCCTCCTCAGGCACACTTCGTGGAGATGGATCCATGGGTCGTATCATCCGTGCTCTCCCCTAACATTGAAGCCTGCTCCGCCTCCTCAAACACCACCATCCACCCTCTCAAAGTCGAGTCCTTTCTCCAGCAAGCAAAAGAACGAGGAGGTACGGTGAGGTACGGTGTGGTATGGTGAGGTACGGTGAAATACGAGGAGGTATGAGAAGGTACGAGGAGGAACAAAAAGGTACGGAGGCAATCTTCATCTGAACCTTCCTCAGCATTCTGTCTTCCATCCCTCTTCCCTTACCCCCTCGCTCTCTCCCGCCCTGCCCCACTCCTCGTCCTCCACACGCTTGTCCTCTCCATATCTCCTGCCCATCCTATCCACGTGATAAAAAGTAGTGTTTTGAGACGTCTCAAATTTTCACTTATTTTCATATGGCTTATCCTCTCCATATTTCCTGCCCATCCTATTCTGCTCGCTCACCATACCTCTTTTCCTTAAATCTCCCCGTCCTCCCCTCCCTCCCCCCTTTTCTGCTTCCTTCTTCTCTCTCCCCACTACTCTCTTTTTTCGCTTCCCACCAGGCAGCATTCCATTCTCTCTCATTCTTTTCATTCCACTACCTTCCTGCCTTCCGCTGCCTTCTTTTGAAGCGCCTCAAAAGTCCTTCCTGCCTTCCGCTGCTCTCCTCACGCACCCTCGCAGCCGAGTGGGTGGGAGAGCCCTTCACTTTCATCAGCGTGATCCCCCCCTCTATGACCTTCATCTTAACAGCGCTCCTGCTTTAACACTGCATGTCCTCCCGCCCACCACCCTCCTGCTCTACACTCTTCTTTACGCCCTCGCAGCCGAGTGGATGGGAGGGCCCTTCAGCTTCGTCAGTGTGACCCCCCCCTATGAGCTCGTTGTGTACAGTCAACTCATGGCCCAGCTCGCTGCCTCGCCGCTGCTGCACCCAGAAACATGCATGGTGCGAGCGAGCGTGGGTGTATGGTGTGTGGCGGGGGGAAGGGGGGGAAGAGGGGGGGGGGTACTTATGGATGCATGTACTCTCACCTCATGGCCCAGCTCGCTGCCTCGCCACTGCTGCACCAAGACACATGCATGGTGCGGCGTCATTTTTCATGGAATCATGCATGTGCCGGCACTTTCACAGCGATGGTGATGCAGGGCATAGGAGGGGAAGGAATGGTGGTGCTGTGACGGCACATGTATGCGTGCTGCCATGTCTCTGTGCGTGCTTCTCTGTGTTCATCCTTCTTACTCACTCCACCTCACACTGCCCATCATATCTCATGCATCCTGCCAGGTGGTGGAGTGCATAGATTGCACGGAATTGTGGTGATATGTCATCCTTCTCACTCTGTCCCCCACACACTGCCCATCGTATCGCATGCATCCTGCCAGGTGGTGGAGTATCCAATCAGCTAACTCCAAGTCGACTCACAATTCAGCTAACTCCAAGTCTTCCTCACATTGCCCATCATATCTCATGCATCCTGTCAGGTGGTGGAGTATCCAAACAAATCTAAGGATGAGATATTGCACACATGCGGTCCTCTATATAAGGTGACTTCATAATTTCTTCTGCATAGCTCATGTTTTTTCTTAATCCTTCCCATCATCTATGCCTGTGTTCGCTGCCATGCGAGACACTCCACTCCTCCCTGCTGTGCTGAACATGGCGTTACTCCCTATTTCATGCTGTTCAAATTACTTCATGCTGTTCATATCACTTCATGCTGTTCAGATCACTTCATGCTGTTCAGACCACTTCATGCTGTTCAGATCAATGATAGAAAGTATGGGCGAATCCGAGTGAACACCAGTTAGGTGTCATAGGGTCGATACGTGGCAGCAACTTAGGGAAGAACACTCCACTCCTCCCTGCTGTCCTGTGCTGAACATGGCGTTTCTCCCCACCCCGTTCCATGCTGCGCAGATCAAGGATCGGAAGTATGGGCGAACCAACGTGGCCATACATGGCCCTGCATGGGCCCTGGGAGGCGATGTGCAATGAATGATGCCAATGGCAATGATGCCAATGGCAATGATGGCACTCGGATTCGTTTAGGGGCAGGCTGAAGAATTACAGATTGATCAGGGCTGGCATGGCATGTATGTACTACTTTACCTCAGTGACCGTCTGTACTAGGTACAGTACCGTAAGTTGTAATTGCAAGGCAGCTGTGATCATAGTTCATTCTCTGTTTACCTCCTACAGTACCGTAAGAAATGCAGAAAAACAAAATAGACACTGGTTTGGTGGCCCACAGAGGTAACCACATACCGTATCAGAGTTTTATAAAACTTGATAAGTGTTGAATTTTTGCAGATGGACCACACCTCATACCGGTAGTTCCAACATCACTGCACTCTGGTCTGGACATGCAATACTAGAACAAAACTAGTTATAGCTAAGTCGCAGCACCATGCCCTTCTTGGCATAATCCTTTCCAACCATGCTATAGTACAAAACATCCCCAGTAAGCAAGATAGTCTTCTTAGCCTTGGCGGTTGCCTTAACAACCACCTTATCGACAGCCTTGGTGTTGCATGCGTCCAGTGCGGTTCTGTCTTTGGCGGTCGTTAGAATGTGCTTCTTGCAAACCACCTTGTTCCAGCAACTCTGGTCCCACTTGAAGACTGCAGACGGGTAAAACAGGCGGAGATGAGATGAGAGATCGGAAGCAGACATATGCGATGGTTGCGTTGATAGATAATATAACATGCGGAACCTGCCAACGCAGCAGGTCGACGGCGTGCCAACACTGCAGAAGTGCGGCTGTTCAGCATTGCACCCGTAAATGGCAGCAGTGCGCACGCTTGCAGGTGCGCGCAGACGATTGGCCCGACTTGCATCGTTGTGCATCCGTCGGCTGTTGTTTGCGCCTGACGAGCCACATCGACTTCGGGATACCAGCCCGAAGTCACCTTCGCCATCGCGACCTCGACAACGTTTGCGTGCCTCCGCAGAACTCGTCGAGTAGGTTACCCGGTCGACCTGGACACCACCAAGTGCACTGGTCGACCACAGCTCCCTCTGGTTGACCACCAGGTGCCTCTGGTCGACCACAGCTCCCGTCGAGCTACCCCCTGGTCGACGGACCCCTTCCGTTGACCAGAACTGTTCGCTGATGTCGCCGAGCTCCCCTCGTCGACTGATGCTAACTTGTCAGGTCAACGGACTGCTCCGTCGACCTCCCGGTCGAACTGCAGGTCGACGGACCGCTCCGTCAACCTCCCGGTCGACGGCCCACCCGTCGCCCAGACTAGTCAGTTGCAGTTGTCGAGCTCCCTAGTCGACAGCAACACCACAGCGGTCCCTTGCAGCTCGACGAAGCCTGTCGATCAGCTCTCCCACTGTGAACGGTCGGCTGCAACTCTCGTACATCCGACCAAGTCGTCGGCGTTGCCCAAGCGAGGGCGGGGCCAACAGTCCACAACCGTTAACACTCCCCTGCCGCGCTCACGCTTGGGCATCCAGCCCACACGGCAGTACTCCACGGGCGTGCACCCCACACACAGCACGCCGTCATCGCACCAGCCGTGCAGAAGGGCACGGCACCTACTGCTGCACCTCATCGTCGCCGTCGCCGATGTCGGCAAGGCGAACTTGGCCGATGGCGACAGAGCACCGGTTGAAAGCCGGAAAATGCAGCGCCTTCGTCAGGAAGTCAGCCGGCTGCTCGGCGGTCGGGATGTACTTCAGCACGAACTTCCCGCGCCTCACCATGTGCTGCAGCCAGGCGTAGCGTCGCTCCATATGCTTGAGGTTGCCTGTCAGCCCCAAGCCTTCAGCGACCGTGATCGCCAACTTGTTGTCCACACGGAAGACTGTCGGCTTCCCATGGTCGAGCAGCTTGAACTCCGCAAGAAGGGAGCGAAGCCGACACCCCTCCTTGCTGGCTTCCATGGCCGCGACGTACTCCGACTCGGTTGAGGAGAGCGTTGAGCACTTGATGTGCGAGCTCGACCAAGAGACGGCGGCCCCTCCGTAGACGAACACGTAGCCGCCCGTGCTCGTCCGGTTCTGCTTGTCGCTCGCATCATCGGCGTCCACGTAGCCGATCAGCTCCAGCGACTCTGGTCCACCGCCGAACTCCAGGGCGGTGTCGCGGGTGTCGACGAGGTAGGCGAGGCAGCGGTCGACCTCGCGCTAATGCTGGTCGCTCCTCACCGTGAGGCCGCTCCACAGCTTGCTGCAGGCAAACTCGATGTCCGGCCTCGTCGTCGTCGCCGCGAACTGCAGCGAGCCGACCTTCTGCCGGTACTCCTCCTCCTCACACTCCTTGGCCTCCTCGTCGTCGAACGTCAGCTCAGCGTAGGCGTCGACCGAGACCGGCGTCTTCGAAACTCGACCGCCCTGCTCCTCGTCGATGAAGCGCATGCGCAGCTTGTCGGCGTAGTTCTGCTGGTGCAGCCACAACTTCCTCGGTGGCCTGTCGCGCACGATCTCCAGCCTGAGGTACTTGACGACCGGCGAGATCTCGCGCAGCTCGAAGGCAGCCTCCAGCAGCTCCTTCAGCTCCTTCAGCATCGTGGTGCTGCTGCTGGCGGCGAGCAGGTCGTCAACATAGACCAGCACCCAGCAGGTCACTCCGTCGCTGCCGTCCTTGAAGTAGAGCGCTGTGTCGACCTGGCTCTTCTTCCAGCCAGCGCCCAGCAGCACACTATCGAGAGCCCTGTACCACAGGAGCAGCGACTGCTTCAGCCCGTAGAGGCTCTTCAGCAGCTTACACACCCGGCCGGTCCCATCGTCGAAGTAGTCCGGCTGGTACATGTAGAGCACCATGTCGAGCTTGCTCTGCAGGAAGGCGTTCTTCATGTCGTGCTACATCAGGTTGAGGTCGAGGATGGCGACGATGCTGAGGAAGACCCTCAGCGTGACGTAGCTGCTCACCGGCGAGTACGTCTCGTCATAGTCGGCACCGTACACCTGCGTGAAGCCGTTCACGACCAGCCTCGCCTTCTCGCGCTCGACGGTGTCGTCGATGCGGTACTTGGTCGTCAGCACTCACCGGTTTTTCATGATGTTCACCCCGCGTGGGACCAACTCCCAAGTGCCCATGCC